GAAGGAAGGAAGGAAGGAAGGAAGGAAGGAAGGAAGGAAGGAAGGAAACGGAAGTTGACTAGTGATGGTCATATGGCTCTGTGAAGATACTGAAACCTATTAAATCACATACTTCTACAGGTGAATTGCATGGTATATCACAGGGTGAGCATCTTTAATTCTAAATCCCAAAATCCAGACCAGGTATGGTAGTGCCTTTAATCCCAGTTCTGAGGAGGAAGAAGCAGTATGATCTCTGAGTTCAAGACCAACCTGGCTCTCACAGTGAGTTCTAAGATGCTAGGGTTACATTTTGAGACTTTGCCTTGACAAAATAAACAATCCCCAAACCCAAAGCTACATGATGCTAAGAAAGTTTCAGATGCAGGATGGCACATGCCTATAATCCTAGCAATTGGAAGGCTGACGCAAAAGGACCTTGAGTTTTGGACAGTCTGATCTAAGCTATACAGCAAGATCCTGCTGAATTAACAAGTCCTGAGTGGATGTGCATTGTCGACATATCAAGAACTTCAATGCCTCAAATTCCTGAGATGGCAAAGCCTTCCCCTGGTATGTGTTCAGATGTTAACAGTGTGTGTAGAAAGCATGAACCAGTTTAACTCCTGAATGTTTACAGCCTGAGACTGCTCCCTTACAGAGACCCTTACAGAGAAATTAGCTAAACTTGCCTCTTCATTCAACTGTATACAATAAGCCTGTTGCCTCAACTGGTTAAAAAAAAAAAAAAAATCTATGGTTGGAGAGATGGCTCAGCAGTTAAGAGCACTGTTTGCTCTTAAAAGAGGCCCTGAGTTCTGTTCCCAGCAACCACAAGGTGGCTTACAACTATCTATCCTGGGATCTGATGCCCTCTTCTGGCATGCAGGTGTACATGCAGATAGAGTACTCATACATAAAATAAATCTTTTTTTTTTTTTAATATTTTATTATGTACACAATGTTCTGTCTGCAAGTACATCTGCAGGGCAGAAGAGGGCACCAGATCTCATTATAGATGGTTGTGAGCCACCATGTGGTTGCTGGGAATTGAACTCAGGACCTCTGGAAGAGCAGCCAGTGCTCTTAACCTCTGAGCCATCTCTCCAGCCCCCATAAAATAAATCTTAAGTAACATTAAAAAAATATAAACGCATTGACTTTCAGGACTGCTGCTGGTGTGCCTCCATCAGAGCACATGGCTCATCATTTTTGTACATGTACCTGTCCTTTCTTTATTCCTTTGTCAGACCACTTAGGGTCAAGTCCAAAGCCATGCAGGTTTCAGCAACTGGGAATGTACATTCTGTGATAGGGTGCTGGTACACCATGCATAAGACACTTGGTCCATCCTCAACACAACAAAAAGCAAGAAAGCAAAGGGAAACAAACTTAGAATGGACCACATATCTAAACAGTAAATACAAAAATCACAAAGTTAGAAAGTAGGAGAAAAATCTAAGTGACTATGGTTTGGGGTTTTTTTTTTTTTTTTTTTTTTGTCTGTTTGTTTTTTGTTTTTCAAGACAGGATTTCTCTGTATAGCCTTGGCTGTCCTGGCCTCACTTTGTAGACCAGGCTGCCCTCGAGCTCACAGCAATCCACCTGCCTTTGCCTCCCAAAGTACTGGGATTATAGGCATGTAACACCACGCTTGCTTGGGAGCAAATTTCTATAAAAAGCTAGACAGTTAATTTTTTTGCTGGGTTGGGGTAGAGTCTCATGATGTAACCCTGGCTGGCTTGGAACTCCAAGAGCTCCATTGGATTCTGCCTCCCCAAAACTTTTGAATATAAAGCAGTCAAATAATGTCATTCCTCCTATTCTTAAACCTCTGGAAGGCATTTAAAGTCTGACTACAAAGGAAGGCTCATCTAAAGGATATAGGTATCTAAAGTCTGACTGGCAAAGGAAAGGGTATATAGTTGCTGTCAGTGCTTGCTTAGCATACACAAAGCCCAAAGCTCAGAGGTGTAGTAGTACAAACTCTAACCCTAGTAGTTGGGAAGTGGAGGGCACGGAGTTTAGAAATTCAGTTCAAGGTCATCCTAGCTACATGGCTAGTGGCAGTTTAAGGCCAGCCTGAGCTATGTAATACCTCACTGAAGAAAGAAAAAAGGGGAGAGAAAAGGTCCAGTTAAATTGTGTGCCTGTGTATAGACCAAGCTGGCCTCGAACTTGCAAAGATCCACCTGCCTGTGCCTCCTGAGTGCTGGGATTAAAGGTGTTTGCCACCACCGGCCCAGTTGTGTCTCTTACTCCCCCCCTCTTAACCTGTGCTGTTCAGTAGCCCTGCCTGCCTGTACCCTGCTACTCCTCTGTCTGGGGCAGGGTCTCACTCACCAAGTGATCACTTGTAATGGAAGCTTGGTCTCTTTAAAAGCTCAGCTATGTTATGTAAACATGTTTTCGTTTTAATCTCAAGTGTGGGATTTTAGTTTGGGCTTTGGTTTGTCCACAGCTGATAACTGCCTCCTGTGGTCGTGGTCTCTGCCAGCTGGTAGCAGCAGCATACAACGGGGCATGGTCTAGGACTCTGAGGGATATAAATATGAGAGCCCAGAAAGAGAAAGTGTGGCAGTTTGGAGACATGGGAGAGATGCTTTGTGGCGCAGTGGCTTGGAGGAGATAGACAGTGAAGACTGCTTGCTATATCTGCTGTTGATGAAGACTGGTATAACTTGAAAAAGAACCCTTTGACCCTAAACACCCAGGAGAAGTAAAGGGGTCTGCACCTCCTTCCCCAAACCTTCGCTCTTACTTAGGGTTAAAGGGTTGGTGGGAGGGAGGTAGAGGACTAAACACCCAAAATTAAATACTTTAAAAAAACAAATGCAACAATCACCCTTCACCTTCTCCAGGAAATGCACTATGACCTTGAAGGTAAATCAGTCACCATTACTGCCATAGTTTTTACTCATATCATGTAGCATCTGGTCTGCTAGCCAGTGGGTTTTCTCTAGACATACAGAGTCATCCATGCATTCAAATCACAAGTCTAATTTAGAAGCAGTGCTGGAAATATGGCACTTGCTTGCATTTTGAAAAAAAGATTTATTTTGATTTATTTATTTATTTATTTGAGAACAGTATATACAACCAGTGTGTGGTGGCACCCGTCTTTGATCCTAGCACTTGGTTGGCAGAGGCTGACAGATTCCTGTGAGTTGTAGTACAACCTGGTCTACAGAGTTCCAGGTTAGCCATGAGACTCCGCTTTGAGAGAGAGAGAGAGCTGGAGAGAGGCCTCAGCAATTAAGAGCACTTACTGCTCTTGCAAAGGACCTTCAGTAACAGTACTCAGATGGTGGTTCACAACCATCCATAACTGACATCCAGTTCCGACCTCCACAGGCACTAGGCATGCATATGGTATACAAAAACACACATTCAGGTAACACACTGACACATATGAATCTTTTTTTAAAAAATATTTTTAAAAAATTTAAGTCTACAGAAGCAGGCCCACGATAGCTTGTCCTCTGACCTCCACATCTTCACCATCTCACACATTTACAAAAATAAATGTAAAAAGAAAAAAGAAGAAGGTGGAGGAGAGTTTACAAAAAACCTGAAGCTGAACATGAGAATGTTATGCAGGGTTATACATGGGACTTGGGCAACTATAGATCTAGCTTCTAGCTTCGGTCAGGAAGGGAATCCTGGAACCAAGCCCCGTGGATATCGAAAGAATGACACCTTGTCGCCAGCACCTAGGACCATTCTTGACACCTAGGTGTTAAATCCGTGAACAAAGAAGGGCCCCAGGGTCCCGGAAGACCAGCTGGGCGTGTCACTCCTTACCTGACCCCCGCCGTGCTGACCTCGTCCACGTGGTTCTCGTTCAGCTGATGCTCCCCGCTCTCCACAACCGCCTGGGGCTCCTGGTCCACGGGAGGCACGTCCACCTGCGAGCACAGCCAGCTCAGGTACCCACCTGCCTGTCAAGTACCCTCAAAAAGGGACGCGCTAGCTGGGACACCCTAAGATGCTGGGTCAGGGCAGAACCTCACTCAGCACCTGTGGGCGCGCGAAGACTTCCTGGCAAGCTGTCAAGAAAAACTTGGCCGAGTGTGGCACACGCCTCTAGCCCCCGCCCTGGCCCCCTGGAGGCCGAGGTAGGCGACGGCGTGGAGTTCGACGCCGGCCCGGCTTGCCTTAGCCCGGCTGCTGTGGCGCCCCTCAGCCCCTCACAGCCTCGCCCGCTAGGCCCCAGGGCTTCCGTTAGTCAGGACATCTCGCCTCGCCTGACGAGAGGCGGCCCCAACCGTGAGAAACAGCCCCCCGGCCCAGGTCTGGGGGGGAAAGTCTGGGATCCCGGCGGCCCCGTCGCCGGCCGCCGCCTGCACAAGGAAAGCCAGCCCCCTCACGTACTCCGGGGCGCTCCATTTCGTCTTTTCCCGCCTCGCGTTCCCGCCCTCTGCCCACGCCACGCCCGCCTGTGCTCGCCCCGCCCCGCGCACGTGCTGAAGCGCGCCCGGCCCCGCCCCTAAATAGCCGCGCCCCTACGCTCAGGCGCCGCTGGTCGGGTTACGTTTGGGTTGCGGCAGCTGCAGGCCCGCGTCTGTGCTGTCTGAGCTCGGAGTTCGCAGGTGCGGGACTCGGGGGTCACCTGTGGTACTCAGGATACTGGGGGTCTGACGAGTTCGTACTACATCAGGAGTTCCGTCCCTCTGCTCTACAACTTTTTATGTATTTATTTTTTCGGAGACAGGGTTTCTCTGCGTAGCTCTGGCCGTCCTCGAACTTACTCTGTAGAGCAGGCTGGCCTCGAACTCACTGAGATCTTCCTGCGTCTGCCTAGAATTAAAGGCATGTGCCACCTCCAGGCTCAAATTCTTTTGAAACAGGGTCTCTCAGAATGTCCTGGCCTAGGACTCTGCAAACCAGGCTGGCCTGGGAACTCTAAGAGATCAGCCTGCCTCTCTCTGCCTCGGAATTCAAAGCAGGCACCAAGGGCTAATGACAACCTTTTTCTTTTTTTTTTAACTTATTGTGTATGATTGTAAACTACTTTTGGGCGCCTGCCAGTGAAGGCCAGAAGAGTTCATCAGATCCCCTGCTTATAAGCCTCCTGACATGAGTGTTGGGAACTGAATTCCTGTTGCCTGATGCTCTTAATCGATGAGCTCTGCATTTTATTTTTATTGTCTTACATTTAACCTATTTTATGCCTGTGCCATCCTCTCTGGGAATGGGAGTCAGAAGACCGCTTGGAGCAGTCGTTTATCTCCTTCCATCGTGAGGGTCACTGGGATGAAATTCAGGTCATCAGACATGGTGGGCACCTGTACCCACTGGCCATCTGGAGGGACCTTGTAATGGCAGTTTTGTTTTCTTTGTATATTATGCAAATATGCTTTTCTTTTAATCCCAAGTGTGGGGTTTTAGCTGGGCTATGGTTTGTCCGCACCTGTTAATTGCCTCTTTTGAGCATGGCTTTTGCAAGCTGGTAATGGCCTTCCACATGCACAGAGGGGCGTGGTCTAGGACTCAGTATAAATATGAGAGGGAATGAGGAGGTGCCCGTGCTGGCGTTCTGTGTGGCAAGAGGAGCAGACAGATGGAGAGAAACACTTGCAGGCACAGCGGCATGGGGGAGCCTGCCAGCTGTGTCGCTCGTTGATGGAGATTGGTGTAGAACCCTAAAAGAACCCCAAAAGAACCCCGTGACCCTAAATAGCCGAGAGAAGTAAAAGGGTCTGGGACCCTTCTCCCCAGTAACTTTTTCTTTCTCCTACTTAAGGTTGGGAGGTTGGTGGAAGGAAGATAGAGGCCTAAACACCCCAAATAAAGGAGAAGTAAAAAAAGACCGTCACAGGTGGCCTTCTGCTACAGGCCCTCGTCTTTAAATGTTTCTTTTTTTATATACTTTATGTGCATGGGTGTTTTGCCTGCATGTTTACACATAGGTGCCTCATGCCCAAAGAGACCAGAAGAGAGCTTTAGATCCCCTGACACTGCAATTAAAATTGTGAGCCACCATATGAGCGCTTTAAATGAAGACTTAGGTTCCTTGGAAGAGCAAACAGTGCTTAACCTCTGAGCCATCTCTTTAGCCAACACCACCACCCACCTTTTTTTTTTTTTTTTTTTTTTTTTTTTTTGCTGCCACATCCCCAGCAGCTTTGGTCCTGCAGCTGTGGCTATGTGAATGAAGAAAGGACAAAAACACAGTGAAACTGGTATCAGCTGAGGTTCTCTAATGCTATTTATTAGGTACAGCACAGCTAACAGTGGTAGGAGCTATCTGTGGGGAAGCAATCTTAGCCTGCAAACATCAGGAGAGAAAGCTAAGGTTGTTAGTCTTTGCCCACTCCAATTACCTGTAAACAATCATACTGGGACTCTAGAGGAAAGCTTTGCCAGTCCTTTTGACCTGGCACATATAGCTAATTGCTTTGACAATTTTCCATGGGTTAGCTGGTCTGGGGACACTCCTCTGTGCCCATGTCAAAATATGCTTTTAGGTTTTACTCACTCAGGGCTTCCTCTGTTTATATATTTCATCCCATTTTGTGAAACAGGGTTTCTCTGTGTAGCCCTGGCTGGCCTCGAACTTACAGAGATCTGCCTGTCTCCACCACCCAAGTACTGGGATTACAGGTGGGCACCGCTGTGCCTGGCTTTCCAGCATTTCCGAATGAGGTACTGTATAACTCAAGCTGGCCTGGAACTCCGCAGGCATCTACAAATGCCTGTAACCTCACCGTTTGGGGTGAGGAGGTAGGAGGATCTACAGTCTCAGGCAACTTGAACGAAACGAACAGAACCAGATTCAAGAAAAAGATCCACCTTAAAAATACTGAGGCTGGGAACAGTTAACATTTATGGTCCCTGCTGTTTGGATAACTGAACAAAACTGTTTAAGCCCAGGAATTGAAGCCAGTCTGGCAACACAGAAGCCCTGTCTCAAAAACGGGAGCTAAGCCTTCAGGTAGAGCTCAGAGTATTTGTCTAGATAAACCCTGGGCTTGATGACCAGCACAACACACACCAATGGGTAACATACAGGAACAGGTGTGCTCAAAGGCCCTAGGGACATTTGTCACAGTGTCCACATAAGGGAGGCAAGAAGGAAGGTCCCAGTCACATTGCCTAACTCTTCCGGGCCAAGCTGTCATCGACTACACACTAAACTAGTACATATCTTTAACACCTACATTCTGTGGAAAATGACTGATTTTTACCAGCTAGGCAATGGAAATACTGATAGTCTCTTTTATGTATTTTATTGTGACAGGGTTTCTCTGTGTAGCCCTGGCTGTCCTGAAACTGGCTCTGTAGACCAACTTGCCCTCAAACTCAGAGATCTGCCTGCTTCTGGCTCCCAGGTGCTGATTAGAGGGATGTGTCACCAAACCTGGCTGAAAACCTGGCACTTTATGACTGCAGTGATAAAAACCTAAAATAATACTGTTGTAAAAGTTGCCAGGATAAACATCTGGCAGGTCCTAACATTATTGACAGGAGGTAACAAGCTCAATGTTGCTTGATGGTAGTGACACATGTTTTTACTCCAAGCACTCAGGAGGCAGAGGCAGGCAGAGCTCTATGAGTTCGAGGCCAGCCTGGTCTACAGAGTGAGTTCCAAGACAGCCAGAGCTATACAGAGAAACCTTGCCTGGAAAAACAACTAGCCAAACAAACAAACAAAATCTAAGTGTGGTGACATAAACCTATAAATGCAGTACTTGGGGGGCTAAGACGTAAGAATCTTAAATCTGAGGTCAATCTGGGCTAAAGTGGTAACTTATCTTGGGGTGTGTGTGGGGACATTAGTTTGCTTGTTTTTTGTGCTGGAGCTTTGTAGACCAGCCGAGCCTTGAACTCATAGATCCACCTGCCCCTGCCTCCTGAGTGCTGGGACTAAACATGTGCACCACCACGCCCAGCTCTAGTATTTTAAAAAAATCTATTCCTTTATTATTATTTTTTTAATGTGTGAGTGCTCTGTCTGCATGTACACCTGCTGCCAGAAGAGGGCATCCAATCCTTTATAGATGGTAATGAGCCACCATGTAGTTGCTGGAAATTAACTCAGGACCTCCAGAAAAAAAGCCAGTGCCTTTTTTCTTTTTCTTAAGATTTATTTACTTATTATTTACATAGCATTCTGCCTGCATCTGTGCCCACTCACCAGAAGAGTGGTGTCAGATCTCACTATAGATGGCTGAGCCACCACGTGGTGGCTGGGAATTGAACTCAGGACCTTTGGAAGATCAGCCAGTGCTCTTAACCTGAGCCATCTCTCCAGCCAGAGCCAGTGCTCTTAACTGGTGAGCCATCTCACCAGACCTGACATTAGTATTTTAACAAAGACCAAATTAAATAATTCTTAAAATGTGCTGCTGTGTGGTAGTGGCACACTCCTTTAATTCCAGCACTTGGGAGGCAGAGGCGGGTGGATCTGAGGCCAGCCTTGTGTACAGAGTTTGAGGACAGCAAGGCTACTCAGAGAAATACTGTCTCAAAAAACAAAATCTTCAGCACCAGGGCACTTTCAGGGCCAGAATTAGGGCCAGCAAGGTGGTTCAGGGGATTGAAAGTACTGAGTCCCAGTCCTAGAACTCAAAAGAGGAAGCAGAAAAGTAGCTCCTGAGAAGTTGTGCCCTGTCACACAAACGCTGTGACACTCGGATCTGCTGCCCCCTTTTATCGACAGGCCCTCGTGTGTACAAAGGTGTACAGGTAGGTCCGCAGAGTTGGCTCAGTCGTTAAGGGTGCTTGTTCTTGCAAAAGGCCCAGGTTTAATTCCCAGCAGCCACAGGCAGCTCGCCTTCTTGGGCACCAGGCATGCATGTGATACAAAACACTCATACACAAAACCTAAAAATTTTTTAGAAAAAAGACACACATTGCAGATAAAAACCAAAAAATATTTTAAAAAAAGCAAAAAGCCACCTAAACGCCCAAGAGCCAAAGCTCATCTGAAACGAGCCACAGAAAAGCAAGTTAAAGTATAGGTATACAAAGCTTTATGCAACTTATTCCTCAGAGCTCATATGAATTTTTTTTTTTTTTTTTTTATCAGTCCAGGTATTCAGTCCAGGGTGGCCTCAAACTCATGATTGCCCCTGCTTCAGCTTCTCCAGTGCTGGAGATTTGATCCTTATGGGGAAATTAAGAGCAGCTTCTCACCCACAGCCCCTTGCTTCCCCTAATCTCTGGAATCCTGGCTTATTAGACCATCACCTACTAAATGTTCCTTTCTCCAAGTGGAGTCTGTTTTGCTCATTTAGAAGAGGGCTCAGCACCAGTTAGTGATTAAAAAACGCTAGGGGCTGGGCAGGGTTGGGGTCAGCGCTGTCAGTGAAGTGTTTGCTGTCAGTCCACAGAACCCACATTAAAGACAGCGGGTGTGCATTTATAATCCTAGAGTTGGAGAGACCGAAGCAGAAAAGTCTCTGGAGCTTG